GAAAAAAAAAAAAAAAAAAAAAAAAAAAACACATCTTAGTAAAACCAATACCTTCTCAGCTTCGCATCGAAGCTAATATAATTTATAATCTAACCAGGGGGTCTATTTTTGAATCGTCCGTGTTCACGAACGTATACGTTCAGATTTAATTTTATATAGATTTATATGACAAACGTTGAACACGTTTGGAACGTATGAAATATCAAATGTACGACCGTTTAGAACAATAGAAAACGTTTGTTTAAAACGGATGTTAGGAACCATCAATAGCGAACACGGTGGGTCGAGCGAACAGTCATTTATAACAATAGAAAAATTTAACCCTTGTACTTACCTTTTAGGTAAACATATTAGCATAAAATTAAATTTTAAATTAATATGGTATAATTGATTATAATTAAATAATAAAACGAGGAAAAAAATACTTTTCTGGAAAAATTAATTAGCGTGCTCGTATTTTCAAATTTTTTTTTTCAATGAAAATACTCAATCATCAGCCCGGGAAAGGCGATTTGGAAGGAATTGGCGTAGGTAGGAAAATTTTTTCAGCTCGCCTGCGATCATTTTAAAATATCGACCGTTTTCAAAAAAATGCTTGCTGACAACAGCGTTTTACGACTTAAAATTTGAAATTTTTAATTCAATTTAATCCGTTCATTATTCAACGTTTTACGAGCTTTTTTTTTTTTTTAAGTCCATGCGCCTGGTTTTAATATAGGCATTGAATTATTTCTGCGCATATGTTTATTGTGAACCATAATTTGTAAAGTATGTATTTTTATGACGATTTAATTTATAATTAATATACGACGTTATTGTTTTCATATATAAATTAATTGTTTTAGTTACTGACTATTTTTTTTTTATATTATGTTTGTTATTTTCATATATTATGTTTAGTTTATTAAGATACATTCTGTCGATTTCTTTTAAATAAGTTTATAATACAAATTCATTGATATATTTAATCATGTTTATTGTTGTATATAAATTTGAAGACTGTTATAATTATATAAGTTTGTACATTCATTATCAGAACAATACAGTATTAATAATATTTTTTTTCTCATATATGATTTATGAGTCTATGAGTTTATCGTAAATATTGGGATTCATCTATAATAACTATGTTGTCCAACGTCAAATCACAATTACCAATATTTTTATCAAAACTAAAATTTTTACATAGTCCCACGTATAATATGCTGCCGATTTTTTTGTAATTATCTATAATATAAACACAATTATTATAATTAGAATATTTATAATTTTTGTGTATACTAGTGGTGTATTTAAGGGGGATATGGACCCCCTTTGAACCAGCGCTATCAATATTTTTTAGGCAAGTTCTAAGTAATAAGGACCAAATGACCTTTTTTTTGATCATCACTTTGATTTTTAGCAAAAATATTCTATAGTGTGTTTATCAAAGTAAAAAAATATTAAATACCCTCCTAAAATAATTTCTGAATACGCCTAATGGGAATATCTCATTAACAAAAGTCAACCTTATATTCAATACTTTTTACCATATTCTATTTTAGAATTTTCCTGATTTTAATAATTACATTTTTAATATATTTTTGTTACACTGATTCTGATGTAATATTTTTTCTGCAAAACACTTATCGTGCCCGGCGTAGCCGGATACTCCTACCAGAATCAGTGGCTTATTTATTATGATGGCCAGAAGAGGCTTAGGTGCCTTCGGCATGTAAGACTCATAGGGCCACAGGTCTGGGGCGGAGCCTCAGCAAGACGAAGTCTAGTAATTAATTATTATATTAATTAACAATATAAAATAAATAAATTATATAAAATTATAATACAAAATATATGTAGCACTTTATTTTCGAAAATTTAAGTATTGTTATTTAATGCATTTATCATTTTTAATTTAACTCATATGCAAGTGTACATACTTTTTTTTAGAATTTCTGTAATTAAATAATTTATATAATTTTGGCGAATTACTTAAACTAAATTCATATCAAGTGAATTAAATTATAAATGTATGTGTAATAAACTATTGTTCTTAAAAATTAATATATTAATTAAAAATCAAGTTGTATAAATTTAAAATTCAAAATATTTATTTATATTATTATAATAAATTGCAAACAATCGTGGAACATAAACGTTAATCGGGCAATACTAAGAAGGCCTTATACCTAATAGAACAATAGAACCCATTTGACGTTCATGGAAATATACAATTTTGACCCTATACCTCATAAAACAATAGAATTCGTTCGACGATCCAACGATTCGAAAATAGGCCACCAAATCAATTTATTTATTTTAGCATGTATTAATTATTAATTAAAGAGAAAAATTGACCTCAAATTTATTTTATACAAATTCAGACTTAAATTATACATAATCGCAAAAATGAGGCGATACCCATATTCAAATTATGGGCGTGGACTTAGCGTTTCATGCGTTAAAAAAAAAACCTCGTAAAGAACACGAATTGAATTTATTTATTTATAATATCACAGAAATGACTTTAGGCGGGTCTGTTGAAAATTTCAAACCTTAAATCTTAAAACGCTAGCGTCAGCGAGTTTTTTTACATAAAATAGTCGAATTTTTAAATTGCTCGAGGGCGAGCATACAATTTTTCCGACTTTTGGAAATAATTTTTCCGGAGTCTCATGAGCGAGTACTTTCGTTGAAAAAAAAAAAATTTTGAAAATCGAAGCACGCTTAGTAATTTTTTCAGTAAAGCGTTTTTTACTTTGTTCATTATATCTTATATTTCCTCGCCTTAAACTCATCTTCTTGGGGTAAAACTTTCACTTGACCCAATATCGCACATAATTTACGCTCACTTCAGCCATCCTCGTTGTTTCATACGAGGAAGCTAGACCGTAAGACGGCTAGGTGTGCACCGCACTAGAATGCCGTATTACCTTAAGCCTGTTTAGATCACTATTATTAAAGCGGGAGATGGGTCATCTGGGAGGATAAAGGCTAACTGTACATACGATAAGTAATAAGAGTTAACAATAATTAAATAACAAATATATATATTAGAGATTCTTCAAAGAGTATCTTAAATTTAAGGCGGTCCTTAAATACTAATGGTTGACGAAGCGGTATTAACAAAATAGTTAAACTCAATTAAAACAAATTATAAATGACATACAAAAATATAGGGCGCAATAATCAAATAATAAGAATAACGGCATACAATGGCCGAACAATTTATCATTCAAGCAAAGGAGCTTACTTTAAAAAAATATGTCACATAAAACAATTGACTCACTGACATACGACAATGAACTATACATCGATTTCTTGTGCTTAGTGAGCAATACTTTTCTTACTTTTTAGGTATACTTTTCTATTAGTTATCTCACACAAAATAATGGCCCAAACTATTCCTCCATTCTTTTGGTAATTTTCCTTCTAATATGTTTTATTAGTTCATCTGGTCCTAATGTTTTATTCTTTTTCATTGATGCCAAAGCCTTCTACAGAGTGTTCAGTAAGTCAGGAAACGGGGTTCTATTGTTCTCATTGTTACAAACAATGAGAACAATAGAATCCCGTTTCCTGACTTACTGAACACCCTGTATATCTCATATTCAGTAATTAAATCTACCAGTCTCATGTTCCACAAGATAACCTCTAATGTCTTTTTTGAATACTCCTCATTTCGTAATTTTTCAAAATACACTTTCATATTATTTTCACATTATCATCACTCGATATCACACACATTACATAATGATAATCTTTAGACCTTTTTTCTTATTCCTACTCTCACCAATAAGCTCTTTTGCAGTATTTTTTACACAACTAGCAAATCTATTTTACATATGTTTCCCTCAATATTCTACACCATCCTATTACCTTCTTATAAACTCTTTTTCATTTTCTCCTTTTAATTTTCACCACCGAATCCTTGATTCTTTTCTTGTGTTTTTCCTGTTTTTGTATATTCTCTAGCCATTACACCACAACTCCATTGCCATAGTTTATGTTGTGAAGTTACACTCCCGCCTGAGATAATTCTACAATCTTTTACTTTTCAATTTCTGACTACTTTATTTCTTCTCACCTATTGGTCCCTCGTACATCCGAGATGGAACAATCCACCTAAGTTTTGATTAGGACGCCCCATACTTTTTGTTAAAATGTTCCCCTGGCTGTCTACCTGACGAAACCTCATTAGTCACCTCTTATGACTAGCAGTAGTACTGATGAAGTTTTCATATCTCCTATCCACATGGACAATTGGAAAGTATAATTTTATAGGCCATTATGTAAAGCTTCTTATTATAGACTTGATACTATCTAAAGTAATTGATTGACTAATTTCATGTGTTCTTTCTTGAACATCTTTGACTTTAACATGAATAGTACGAATTAAATAGATTGTACCCAACCTTGTTTATTGTATAATAAAATAATAATTATTTATACTTTAATTAATATAAATATAAAAGTATTGAGTTTTAATTAAAATTTAATAAGTTTCATTTTCGTTCACTCATTAACGTTCAATGTCGAAAAACTTGATTAACAATGGATAAATATGTTAACCATCACTTCAAAAATATTGGACCAAATTATATTTTTAATATTTTTTTGTACATCTTACACTAACAAAACACCAAAAAAATATATATTTTTTTTAATACCGATGTAATTAACAGAAAAAATACCATTATTATTTATTCTATACAAATTATATTATTGATTCAATGATATTAATAAAAAAATAATCATGTATCCCATTTATCCTTTCAATTCATATAAAAATGTTTTATCCCTAATATCTACTTAATATTTTATTTCTATACTTAATTCTTACTAGCTTATAAAAAAAAGTTCTTACATAAAAATTAGTAATCTAAAAACTGAAATATTCTGTTACTTTTATTTCGTTTAAACATTAAGTTAGTGAAATATATTATTGATTTAAAATATCTTATAAAAATGTTTATTTTTTTTGGTGTCAATAATTTTAAACATTAACTTACGGTTCCTTTACACATTTCCAATACTCTATTATCCGCACTCGAGTTTTTTTTACTTCTTATTATTACAACGATATTTGTTATTCCTGGACATGTTCTGAGCAATTTTTCCATCAATAATTTTCCTAAAAATCCTGTGCTTCCAGTGATTAATATAGTATTGTTGTTAAAAGTATCAACTATATTCGATTTCATTGTATAGCTTGAAAATGTTGAACCTAATCAGGAAAGTTAATTTGAACGATTCAACTACTACGTTTTTACGCCAATGAATTTATTTCCGAATCGTAAACTTCAAAATATTCAAACCCCACTCATTATTCGGGTACCTCAAGGTAACTCCATATTTTCCTGTGTAGTTATCTATACTAGTTTTTAGGTAGCACTTTGAGGGATTGCTCTGTAAGTCCTACCACTGGTTCTAATACAACATTGATATTTTCTGCACTTTTACTTGCTGAACAGTCTGTTATTTCATTACCAGTCACATCGCTATTTTCGATATGCTAGTGTATTAAGTTTATTGAAACATGCTAGAAACTCTAAAGTATCCCTTCATTCAAAGACTAGCTTTGAAGTTAACTGGTTATTATTAAATGCCTTCAGAGCAGCTTGACTAACTCTTAGGATAATTATGATCTCTTACTTGAATATTGACGGGTTTTAGTCCCTACTAGTATTTCCATTACCTCTGAAAACTACAGTGAGTTAACAAATATTTTTAATATATACATAAATTTCGTTATTTTAAATGTTATAATTGTATAAAAAAATTCAAGTACTTGGTTTAAAAATGAACGTTTAATATTTTTAAACTTTAAATTATAAGTATTTTGTTATGTATGACTATTATTATTTAATTTGATTTTCAATTTAGAATACAGTAAGTTGCGACTTCCTACCAACCATAATTTTATTATGTTACAAATAATTAATTATTAATTAATAAATCGAAAAGTATTTGTAACTAAATAATACTCGATACTTTGCTATTTTGTAAGTAATTGAGTTATGATAAACCGGTCACCCAGTTGACATCATCAAATATGTTTTTTTAGATACTACAAATATATCAATCATCAACAATATTCTTAGTATTTTTAAACCAATAGTTTCGTCTTGCCCCTTGGTGTTCTAGGGTACGGTCCCATCAGGTCGATACTGATTACTTCGCACGGCCGTTTGGGTTGGCGCTTGACCATCGGGTCTTCGGGGCGCCTGTTTAAGGGCTTAGTACACGCGCAAATGTGACACGATTTTCCATACATGCGCACGGCGTTTCTTAACCCTTTACAGTAGAACCGTTGTTTGACCGCTCGGTGTGTTTCTCTCCATCCGGGGTGACATGATAGGGGGTCGTCATGGTACCGCCAAATTATGTGTTGAACTTTGTCTTCGATGGGTCTAGCCCCTCACTGCGTAAACTATTCTCCAAGACTGCCAGCATATCGCTTTTTGTCGTGGGGCCGTTTAACTGCCTATAAGCGCATTCGCGCAGTAATTCCCGACGGTTCATTTGAGAGAGAGTTTTACCGGTCATAGTGAACGTTCCTTACCGTATTTATCGAAAATAAATAAATGAAACAAAATAAATTGTAGACTTATTTTTAAGAAAGATTTTTTTTGACTTTTTATAATGCTCTAAAAGTCATTATGAAATTGATGCTTGAATGTAAAAAAAAATAAAAATATCTCAATATACATTTATGTATATTTTAAAACACTAATCAAATAGATTATGTTTTTAAATATTACTCATAAACGCTATAAAAATTACATAGACCTTGAAAAAACCGGAATAATTTATATTATTTAATATTGCACTGTAATAAAGTAAAAACGTTACCTGATAAAGAAAAATTAATTCATTCATTTGACATTCGTTAAAATTATAAATTATTTTTCCAATATAATTTATTTAAAATAAGTTTAAGTATATTGTTGTTCTTATTATTAGGTATATTAACATATTATTAAAATAATTTATTATTATAGTAAAATAGAGAAAATTATTGAAATATACATAAAAAATAATCTAATTAAAAAAAATATTTACATGAATATTTTATTTTGGTGTAAATTATTTATATACTAGAGAACTTTTCTCATAAAAAACAATAATTCCTACTTTGAATTTTAGAATAAACTATGAGAAGCTTAATAATCGTTAATAATTTAGCTATTGTATGATAAGATTTTAAATTGTAAATCATATCTTACGTATCATATATATAATTGTTTTTTATATTATTTATATTGTATTTATTACCCATAACTTTTGTGTAACTAATAAGATTGATTTTTTCATTGTGTCAAATAGGCAACTCAAATGTTGGGCAGTTCGCTTTAATAAATAAAGTTGTTTCTTCCTATAAATTCATTAAAATATTTATCTTAATTTACTTTAATAATATCCTTATTTATTAGGGTTCATCAACGATATATTTTTACATATCGATATCGTACTAAATTTCAGCGATATTAAATTAAAGAAAAAAAAACCCAGCACAGGGGGGTTATCAAGTATAATGATATCTGACAGTGATTAAAATCACTATAAAAAAAACGCTTCGATGCAAATCTTTAGATAGTGTTTAATTTTAAAAAATTGGTGGATTATTCCAAAAGCTTCATAAACTGCTAGTTCCTTATTAATATCCTGATTAAGATAAAGTATGTCGAATGAAAAAGGGATTATTAAAAAATATTATTTCTCATAAAAAAATTGTGTTGATCCATACACTTTTCAATAAGTTATAGCATCATAAAGTTAAAAATGTAAAAAATAAAATCCAGAATTTTCATACAAAAATAGCATTTGGTAGNAAAATCGAGAATTTTCACACAAAAATAGCATTTGGTAGCCATTTTCACCGTGAAGATAAAATAAAGTCCGAAATTTTTTTTTCGCATAATAAAGTAAATTACATTAGCTTTAATTTAAGATATATATAAAAGTGTCAGACTTTCCGGAACACTTTCAAAATTTAAGTTGAAAAAGTTCTACTTTCTACATGAATTTTTTAGATTTGAACCCCCCTCTTATATAGGGAAATGGTCCAATTTAAAAAAACAGTATGTCGAATTAAAGATGTATATAAATACTACTTCTCATGAAAAAATTATATTGATAATTTCAAATAGTTATAGCATAATAAAATTAAAAATGTAAAATACAAAATCGAATATTTTCACACAAAAATAGCATTTTGTAGCCATTTTCACCATGAAGATAAAATAAAGTCCGAAATTTTTATTTTACATAATAAAGTAGATTACATTAGCTTTAATTTAATATATATATAAAAGTGTCAGACTTTCCGGAACACTTTCAAAATTTAAGTTGAAAAAGTCAATTTTTTGTGAAAAAGTTGTCATTTTAAATCCCCCCTTGTGGGCAGGTTAAGGGTTAAATTTATGAAAAAAATATACCAAATGAAAGGTAATGATAATATACATCTATATAAAAAAGAATTATATTGATATGTTCATTTTTGAAAAAGTTATGGCACTTTTAAGTAAAAAAAATTGAAAAAATTTCGAAAATTAGCGATTTTTAAATTTGTAATATTTTTGGAGGTTTCCCCCATTTACGGGGAACGAGGGAAATTTTTTCAATTTTTGAGGGTAATGTCTTCGACTAGATACGATTTGTGATCTTTTGACGTATCGTTGAAAGTAATCCATTCGGTGAGCGCTGAGAGAAAGTGGTAACAGACACAAAAAAAAAAAAAAACACTACATAGTAAAACCGATACCTTTTAAGCTTCACATCGAAGCTAATTGTTCTTATATTGCGATATATCGATATCGTATGAAAAAATAAATCGATTGTATCGAATATAATTGGAAATCGAAAAAATTATTTTCTAAAAATGAAATTTTAATTTTAATTATTTCCATCGTTATTTTTATTTCTAAGAATATCATTAAGTTACCATTGTAAAATTCAGACTATGCCACGTCCCCACTGTGCTGGTTTTTTTTAACTTCGATGCGAAGGTGAGAAAGTATTAATTTTGTTAATTGATACAAACATTGTATAAAAAATAGAACTTTTTCAACTTAACTTTTAAAAATGTTCCGAAAATCTGCGTCCTTTAAACACATATCAAATCAAAGGTTTTGTCATATACTATAAAATGAAAAAAAAAATTGTCCTGATACCTTATCGTCTATGAGTGAATTGCAACCGAAATTAAACAAAAAATGTAATATTTGCAAAAAAAAATCAGCTCTTATCGTAATGGTTTTATCTTCGTTACGAAGCTGAGAAGTTTTTTTTTATGTCGTTGCCACTTTTTTTCAGATCTTACTGGACCGATTTTTTTCAACAATACGTCAAAAGATCACAGTTGAATACATTAACCTTAAAAATTGAAAATTTTTTCTTAGTTCCCCGCAAATGGGGGAAATCTCCAAAAAAATTACAAATTTAAAAATCGGTAAATTTTGTCATTTTTTTCACTTTTTTTTCTTAAAACTTTTTCAAAAATCAACATAATTTTTTTTATACTAAAACTTTAGATATTTTCCTTTCATTTGATATCATTTTTTTGAAAATCTAACACTTAACCTGCTCACTGGGGGGATTTAAAATAGCAAATTTTTTTACAAAAACTAACTTTTTCAACTTAATTTTTGAAAATGTTCCGGAAATACTGCATCCTTTCAACATATATCAAATTAAAGCTTATTTTATGTAATATATAATGAAAGAAAAAAATTTGTCCCGATACTTTATCTTCTGCATGCAAACGGCTGCCGTAGTTAAAAAAACGCTATTTTTGTGTTAAAATCCTGGGTTTTGTATTTTATTTTATTTTAAAATATCTTATAAGGGCAATACACAGACTTTCATGAATATTATATAATTTAATTAACATAGAATAAAGTTCAAAAGACATAAGAAATTAAACTTATTTAATTTTTTTTACTGTTTTAAAGTCAAAAAATTAACTTTTAAATTTGACTTAGCTTAAATTTCTAATTTTATCATGCGACGAAAAGTTGCCAAATTGGTAATACTTGTGTCTTTCACGCTAAGGGTACGAGGTTCGCATCCGCCGTGGCAATTAATACTTTCCATCTTTTTTTGAGTTAGAAAAAAATTGTCAAATAATTTGATTTTTATCTCATTTAGATTCAATAACTTCAATAAATATCAAGGATCCCATCACTTAGTCTCTCCTCGTGAGAAGAAATTTCTTATTCATGTTAATATTATTTTACTATGTGTTTTTTTTTTGAGGCCACAATTTATTTTTCCAACCCTCACTT